GAACATGAGTACGTAGATCCAAATGGTGGAGGAGGAAACAATGATGAAGAAGTGTAAGAAGTAAATCCCGAAGTAAACAATGTCGTCAGGGACCGTAATGGCCCAATAAGAGACAACCGAGAAAAATATTACAACGAGAGTGACTTCCAGGTATGGAAAGAAAGGTGTCTGAGAGGAGATGATGAGGTGAAGGACCTGGCCAACAGACTGATGGACCTGCAAATCGTGGTAAACTTCATGATGCAAAGCAAGGTAATGCAACTAGCGTTGCCCTTACCGGAAATGCCAACTTCAGCAGTAAATGCTGATACCGAGAAGGGAGGATAGGCTTCAATACCAATTATCGCGCATCACGAGAAGAAACCTAGAAACTCGCAATGTGATCACAAAATGCCGGACAGAGAGAATCATGGTGGGATAGTCCCAGAGAACCCCGAGGACCAAAGGAACCCAGATCAGAGGATCTCAGTAGATCAATGGGCAAGGCCTCTATTTTGATAACATAATAGACATGGAAAAGTCCCAGAGAACACATTGTAACACAGGAAGCAGCGTACCGAAAAGACTGAAGTCGACTGATAGCCGAGCTCTTGGATGGAGTAAGGAAGATTTATGAGATTACCTCCAAAAGAAGAGGCAGGACGTCGAGGTTACATCCATCGCTTAGCCGAGGACGCCATTCTCGATAAAGTTGGATACGTTCGAGGCACTGAAGAGATTTAGTATCCCAAGGTTCCATATCTACGATGGTAAGTTAGACCCAAATTCCATGTTGGTTTATATTTAAATGCAATGTCTTTGTGGAATGGAAATGAGCATTTGTTATGCAAAGGGTTCCCTTCGACATTTGGGGAAATATCATCAGATTAGTTTCTCAAACTTTTGAAGGGATGCATCAAGAACTGGGAAGGCCGAGATGTTTGTGGCCAGGTTTGTTACAAACAGATTGCAGCCGCTCAAGGTTAACTCCCTGTTGGCCCTGAAGATTGACGATGGCAAAAGCCTTAGGACTTACACCAAGAGATACTACAAGGTTTACAACCGGATACCTGCTTGTAAGTAGGAACTTGCAGTTTTGTTTTTCAAGAATGGCTTGGAGAATGATTGCCCACTTCGGTAATCCCTTGCAAAGACCCTTTCAAAGAGCATGGAGGACCAGGCATGCCATAGACCAAGAACTGTGTCACAATAGAGAAACATGTGATAAATACGATCTTCCATGGAGTTGAACATCAATCCCAAAATAGTATAGTTATCAATATGCCACTATGCACGTGTAGGATCTGTTGCAGCAGGCTAGGTAGTAGAAGATAAAAGCCAATGATCTTTTCCCTTGCCCCCTAAATAGAGTTTAAGGGAGCAGCTCTAGGCGGCAAAATTTTTCCCATTCAACACCACACTCATAATACAATGAACAAGAGTGTGATGAGAAAGAGAAAATGATGGATCAGTCATGGTGAGAGAAAACGGGCTGAAAAACCCATAAAGATAGCAACATAATCCAAGAAAAAAATAAGAAGCCAGAAAAAAAACTCAACGGCTTATCTAAATAGATACTACCGAATAAACTCGATAACCCGAAAGAATAAAAGGACAGACAAAGGGACTTAAACATCAGTCCAATCACCTCCAAGAAGGGGAAAAAATAGCCACGAACCACCTGAAGAGGCAGTCGAAGCACGTAAGACTAGAACCAGGTCTGGTCGGCAGCAACCAAAGCCTCGACAGGGATAAAGAAGGCTTGCCGAGGTGAAGACAAAGAAGGAGATGGGCTACAGAGGGTTGCATCAAGAACTGGGAAGGCCGAGATGTTTGTGGCCAGGTTTGTTACAAACAGATTGCAGCCGCTCAAGGTTAACTCCCTGTTGGCCCTGAAGATTGACGATGGCAAAAGCCTTAGGACTTACACCAAGAGATACTACAAGGTTTACAACCGGATACCTGCTTGTAAGTAGGAACTTGTAGTTTTGTTTTTCAAGAATGGCTTGGAGGATGATTGCCCACTTCGGTAATCCCTTGCAAAGACCCTCTCGAAGAGCATGGAGGACCAGGCATGCCATAGACCAAGAACTGTGTCACAATAGAGAAACATGTGATAAATACGATCTTCCATGGAGTTGAACATCAATCCCAAAATAGTATAGTTATCAATATGCCACTATGCACGTGTAGGATCTATTGCAGCAGGCTAGGTAGTAGAAGATAAAAGCCAATGATCTTTTCCCTTGCCCCCTAAATAGAGTTTAAGGGAGCAACTCTAGGCGGCAAAACTTTTAATGCCTAAACAGAAAAATAGCATGTAATTACAGTAGTATCCTTTTTTAAAAAAGTTATCCCGCCATAACTTTTCGCGGCCAACTTTTTTTTTTGGTCGCTAAAGGGTAATCTTCCGTGACCAAAAAAGCCTTTGGTTGCCAATAGTATACTTTCCGCGACCAACTTTTTTTTTTGTCGCCAAAAGATGATCTTCCGCAACCAAAAAAGCCTTTGGTCACCAATAGTATACTTTCTGCGACCAACTTTTTTTTTGGTCCCCAAAGAGTAATCTTCCGTGACCAAAAAAGCCTTTGGTCGCCAATAGTATACTTTCTGTGACCAACTTTTTTTTTTGGTCACCAAAGGGTATACTTTCCGTTACCAACTTTTTTTTTGGTTGCCAAAAGGTGATTTTCCATGACCAAAAAAGCCTTTGGTCGCCAATAGGTATACTTTCCGCTACCAACTTTTTTTTTGGTCGCCAAAAGGTGATTTTCCGCGACTAAAAAATTGTGGTCACCAAAAGTTAAATTATTTAGTCGCAGAAAGTGGACAATTTGCGACCAAAAAAAATTGGTGGTCGCCAAAAGTGTTTTTTCTTGTAGTGACACTCATAATACAATGAACAAGAGTGTGATGAGAAAGAGAAAATGATGGATCAGTCATGGTGAGAGAAAACGGGCTGAAAAACCCACAAAAATAGCAACATAATCCAAGAAAAAAATAAGAAGCCAGAAAAAAAACTCAACGGCTTATCTAAATAGATACTACCGAATAAACTCAATAGCCCGAAAGAATAAAAGGATAGACAAAGGGACTTAAACATCAGTCCAATCACCCCAAGAAGGGGAAAAAATAGCCACGAACCACCTGAAGAGGCAGTCGAAGCACATAAGACTAGAACCAGGTCTAGTCGGCAGCAACCAGAGCCTCGACAGGGATAAAGAAGGCTTGTCGAGGTGAAGACAAAGAAGGAGATAGGTTATAGAGGGTGGGTTGAGGCTGGGTTGAGGCTGTTAGGGAGAGAAAATGAGATGGAAAGGGCAGTCGGAGGCTAGAGAGAAGAAAAAAGGCAGTCGATGGTAATGGGTGGTTAAGAGAGAGAAGGTTAGGGAGGCTCTGATACCAAAACGAATGGAAATAATTATTTGGCTTACCAATCAATGAGGTAGAGGCCATGTATATATAATACATTCATGATACAATTTAGGAAATAATAAACACAAAGCAAGATTTCTATAATCAAAATAATTCCTATTCTAATTTCTATATTCAAACATAACATTTTGATTCCTATATTCAACATGCATAAGAAGAAATATAGTGTGCACTATCCTACAATAGAAAAAGCTGATTTTCACAAGGAAATGGCCTCAATGCATGGGTGAAGAAAATAGCTAGAATATCCAAAATCAAACTTTTCCCCCTCATGCAGCCCCTTGGGTAGAGACAGAAAATACCATGTTTGGGCTGGGGGCATTCCCCTATAGCGTTTTGTTTCGCCTTCAAATATGCCAAGGTCTTTGCCTTGTGATCAGGGAAGGGCAACAAAACTTTTGATACTAGATCAGCTCCTTCATTTTCGAGGTATAAAAGAAAATTACAAAAGAATCACAAACAATGGCAAATTTCAGGTATACTTAGACATGAAAACACACTATTTAAATGACAATTAGTGGTTTCAGAGTTCAGAAATAGAATTGATTTATAAATGAAGATCACAAACAAATGGGAAAGAAAATTTGATGTCAAAGACCCAAATAATGGAGTTGAAAAGGGGAAAGGGAAAGGGAAAAAAAATTTAATAATAATTTCCTACCATTGATGTTGCTGTGATGTGTAGGATTTTGTGAAGTCAATCAATCTGCAAGAAGAGGATCAGCAGTTATCCTTGTTTAAGAGCTTGGCAGGTCACAGACTCACAGCTAGGTAGGCCTAATATGACATTTCTCAGGCTTCAGTTTTGGCATACAAAAGAGTTAGCAAGAACAAAAGTACAATTTATGATGCAAAATAAGGAGATAGATTTTAAAGAAATGAAATTAAATCAAATCCTATTTATGATGAATAGAAAAGCAAAACATCCTGTCGATCAACCTTCAGTAGAACTAGATTGGATAGAGCAGGTGCCCACAGTGTAGCGATTGATAAGAGGAACAGATCAAAACGATACTCCATCTCTTCTACCGCTCGCTCTTAGCCTAAATGGATGCTCATTTTCTGTTTGATTTTATGCTGTACCTGTACTTTTGTGTTGACAATTTGACTACAAAGATTGAGTCAATATTTTTATGTTCTTAGGCTTGGATGAGTGATTAATTTTTATAGATTTAGTATTGCACGTTCATTGATTGAGCTTGATGAAACCTGTAGGGTAGTATTCATATAGTTGGCACAGCTATAGTATAGATCGACAGAAGTAAAAATGGGATATCGACTAACGTAGAACACAGATTGGGCTAGGAAAATTCTACAATTAAGTAGGTAAGATCTATGCATTTGAATATTGGTAAGTCTTAATTTTTTTTTTTCCCTTTTACTAGTGGATTGGTGCATCCATAGATTTTTTCCATGAGTTTAGAGTTTTTCCATGTAAACCCTAGTTCTCTCGTGTGGTTACTTTTTATTCCCGATAAAATTATGGTGAATAATTGATTGGAAAAACTAAGAAAAATTAGAACAATATATATTGAAGATTGAGAAGCCAGTTGGTGGGATACTGAATAAATGGGAACTAGTTGCACTGACAGTGAAATTTGAATGTAAAACTCAAGAGAAAAAATACAATGAAAAACCAACGTACAGAACCTTTAATCAAAGATCATGTATCATCATACAAATATAATTGAGAATTGTTGGACCAATCAGGCAATAAATGAATTGCATCCCTGTTGTTGCATCAATCTTCCAATCCTGATTGATTAGGTATATGTAACAAAACACAACATCAAAACCAGTTTCAATCTGTGTTTCCTTATAGTACAATATATACATAGACAAACATGGTAAATGTAATGAAGAGAAAATACAAGCCCAGGTGCAACCATGAGGTATTTCATTATCAACATTTTCCCCCATCCTAGTTCATTGCCACCCACAATCATGTACCACCTGTTAATAGGTCGCGGTTGCCAAGTTCAACCCCTTTATGATCCGAGGGTGCATTTTCTGCACGAACGTCCACGCTGGCAATTATGTTGGCTGATGATGTGTTTGTGTTAGGTGGTGGTGCATAGCTAGGGCGACCGAGTGTAGGAGAATGCTCTGGTGAGTCACCTGGGCTCCCCAGCCCGCCACCTAAAGTCCGGGTAGCAACCGGTCCTGGCTGGCCCTCACTCTTTTTCTTCAAAGCATTCTTATGCCAGTTCCTTAGAGCCTTGGAAGTTTGATCATCAAAGATAGACCTCTTCATAGTTGATCCCATCTGAAAATTCCCAAACATAAATATGAGAAGAAAAGAAAACCTAGTGTTTTTTTAAGCTAACAAATAACATGTTTAACATGATTATAGTTTTCTGTTTATGTTTGCTAAAAAAATAATAATAATCAAAATCAAAATCAAAAATCAAAACTATAAACAAAACTTATTTGATGTCTATTTTTGTTTTCAAAAAATTAACTAAATCACCAATTTTCCCAAAAGCTTAAACTATTAGGAAATAAGCCTAACAATGAATATCAAGCTATTTACCAAACATTTTTTTTTTTTTTTTTTTTGGAGAGAGGTGTACATATCTTCTCATTTCCTATGAAGAAATATGTGAGAGAAATTATATGCCCATGCCACTTTATGACTAGAGAGGAAATGTAAACAAATTTATCACACATTAGATAAACCAGTTTTTGAATGAGCATTTTGGTTATAAAATTGGCATGTACTACTCACATGCCGATTTTTTTATTCTCTTTTTATAGCAGAATGTCAATATAATGTTGAGATTGAAATAAATCAGAAGATTAGGGGACAAAATTTCACATTTTTTAGTTGAGGGAGTAAAATGAACTCATAATTGAGGGGAGTAAAGTGTAACTCGTCCTTATTATAAATATGCAGATAGCAAGTACCTGAGTGACGAGGGCATATAGTGGAAGTGTAATGTAGCTGCACAAAAACTGAACTCCTACCCTGCCCAAACAAATAGATCCATTATTTAAGCCAGGAATTTCAGTTCAATAATAGGAATTAATGCAGTCATGAATCAAACAGTTCTGTAACTTTACTTCCAAGGAAGATCATGGTATATCAGATTACTTTCTTGGAAGAGTAACTTCTGATGACGTTGAAATCTTCTTGTAAAAATAAATTAGCAATTAAAATTGCTAGAAGTTTGTTAAACTAGAGCACATTTTCGATATGTATAATGCAAAAGTTGTAGTAGAAGTACTTTCTTTTATGATTACATTCGAGGCAAAAACGTACTCTTCCAATGGGGTTGGGTGCAGGGCAGATGGTTTAAAAGTAGACCCCCTATTAATAAGACATAAAGGATCACAAACTTATTTCAACTTCAAGACTCATTTAGTAGACAGTGAGCCAATCTGCAAGCTAAGACTTTGACAAGCAGCAAGCACCTACCACTATCAAAATGAAAAGTAACTAGTGAAGCTTGAAGAAGCAAGCCTCTGTCAGAGAAAAGCATTGCGCGCTAGTCTCTTGGTTAGGATTTAGGAATCTACTACAACTTTTGCATTATACATTCACTATTTGAAGTATTTGACCCTCAAAAACTTAATATGTACACTCTTCACTTACCCAAGAGCAACTCTCATTATTATAAGACTGAAATCCTGATGAAAGCAAGATTTCAACCCGAACTCATACTGCACCAGAAAACGTTACTTCAAAAAAACTGAAACTAATATAGAAATAATGATGAGGAAGAAAGAGGAGAGCAATTCATTACCCATATCCAGAAGAAATATGTTAACTCTAATGCATTCTGAACACAGAAGAAAGATAACCAGCTTGTTAGAAAATTTTGGAAAACAACATATACCAGACTTCAAAAAGTATTTTTATGTGATTTCTTTACTTAGGGTGCTTTGGTAATAGTTTTTTTAGTTCCTTTTCTTTTTTTTTTTTTTTTGACTTTTTCAGGATAAAGTTATTGCTCAAAAAGCCAATGCGTTTGGCAAATGCTAAAAAAAGCAATTTTTATGCTCCTCATCCCTTTTTTTTTTGAGTATTTTAGCATTTTTCTTTTTTTTTTTTAGGTTTTTCTAGACTGCAGGGGATCAGCAAAGAAAAAAATTAAATACAAATTTATAAGTTTTTTTACTAAAGAAAAAAAAAAAAAAAAATGGAAAAAATGTTATTTTTTTAGCACTTGCCAAAAAGGATGAATCCTGTTAAGAAAACTTTCTCCTTCTTCTTCTTTTTTTTTTTTTTTTCAATTGTTAGTTTTTTTTTTTTTTTTTTTTTTTTTCAATTGTTAGCTAAATAAGTTGAATCAAACTACCAAAAAGTGGCTTTTTTTGTTAGAGTGAATACCTGAAAGAGAGTGATATGGATGAGATGGAGAATTAATTGAGGCCAGCCAAACCAAAAATGTCTATCAGAGACTTGTACAAGAGGTATGCCTTGGACAACAGCATGTCTTTCTACGATTTCAACAGCCATCTGAGTTATAATTGCTTGCAGCTTTGTTCCAACTGATAAGACCACCTTTAATCAATTCAATGGTTAGTTCTTTCCTTTCTCCAACTAAGAGCATCATAATCAATGAGAGATTATTAGAACACAAATTTCTTACAATTAGAGGCAAAAGGGACAGCCAAAATATAGATTGCCATCCTGCAAGAAATAAAAAGATTTAAATTATATCATGTAAGTTGTCCAATATGTATATCATGTAAGTTGTCTTGAATCTTTCACAAAAAAAAAAAAAAAGTTGGTTATGCAAATAGTTTCTTAAGTAACCTATCTATTTCATTTTGGTCCCGAATCTTTCATTTGTATCAATTACATTCCTAAACTTTGCATATTAGTTCAATATGGTTCCTTCCCATAACTGCCATTAACTTTAGATGAAAAATGTTGACACCATGCCTAATGGAAATGCCAAAGTTGCCAAACACAATGTGTTGTTGCTTCTCTACCATTTTAGGGCTTAGCACAGCAAGTAGCAAGCAAAAACTGGGGTCTTGGAAAATTTTAGGGATTGACTCACCAAATTAGAAGCACAAGGGACAAAAAAGTTTACCTGTCACAATATGGAATGGAAGATTTGGATGTATTATTTCGTAAATATTGTGCATATCACTTGTCCCACAATTTATTTTAGGCGAGAAATGTGATAAATTCCTCCCAATGCATTTCAAATGCCTAATATAAGGTTGATGTAAGCATGATGCAACATTTTCCCTCTAAAATTAACGGAAGTTATGAGAAGGACCACATTGAATTAATGTGTGAAGTTTAGGGGCATAATTGACAGAAATTAAAGATTATGGACTAAAATGATGTAGCTAGTATACTTTAAGGACTATTTATGTAATTTATTCAAATGAAAACTAAGTCTGTTATTATTACCAAGTTGGGCTGGTCTCTAGTCTACATTGGATTGAAGGGTATTGTCCGAGGCTATAGGGGCCAACACGGCCTTAATTTGATCATCCAACCCATTCATTTTTTAAGCTTGTGTGGATAGATCATTTATGAAAAAAAGAATTAGATTGATTCGATGATCGCAACCTTATAATTTTATCATATTTGTTTTGATAAAAATGATTTTGAAAACTAGATGGTCTATTTTTTTTACAAAAAAAAATGATAAAATCATGTGCTTACAATTATCAAGTCAATCTAATTTTTTGTAAGTGATAAAAACACGAGTGTCTATAAAAATGAATGATTCGTATCGTCAAAATGGGGGCCAAAATCCAAATTTACACCAGAACAAATCCATTCTCAATAGTACCAACATGAAAAGAAAAAAAAAAAGAAGAAGAGACTAACTCACCATTAACATTGAGCAATAGAAAGATGACTGCAGAAGCCCATAATACTGGGCTGAAACCATAGTGAATATAAGCAAACACATTAATTAGCACATTGTTATAAGCCATAAAATTTTTGAACCAAAACTAATAGGAACCATACAAAAGGTAATACCTGATTCCCACAACTACCTTGAAGTCATCTTCTAGTGATCTTTTGATATATTTTTGGAAGTCAAACTTAGTTCCTGGTGCTAAATGAACCTAAAAAAGAAAAACATAATTAATCCATCAACTATAAGAATACAAACACAATATTAGACATATTTGGGAACATTTGTTTTTACTGTTTTCTATTTATATTTACAAAAATGTTGAAAATTGTAAATAAAAACTCATTTGGTATCTATTTTGATTTTTAAATTTTGTAAACCATGTACAAAATTTTCTAAATTCTTGAATGTTCAGGAAAAGAAAATCATTCTTCCCCTTCTCACCCCCCTATTAAGTCACCAATAACCAAAGAAAAAAGAAACAACCAAATTGGGACTAAACACCAAATGTCAACGGAGAGATTAGAACCCAAATCCTCTCTCAACCTAAGCTCTGATACCATATTAATTTCCCAAAAACTCAACAATGTATATCAAGTTATTCGACACACCCACCCCTAATCAACACCATTAGCTACCATATCCGACCAACTGTCGCCGATGACCTCTTCCAACAGCCATCATCAATGATATGCTCTGACAATCACCCCCAGCCACCATCTCCCACTAGCGACAACCACATATAGGCAATAGCCACCTCTTGTGAAAACCACATTTGACTACCACCTTCGGCCACTAGCCACCATCTTTGACCTTTAGCCACTACCTCTTGCAGCCAGCAAAAACCTCCAGCCACCACCAACTACCTCCGACCAAGGTCCGGCAACAACATCCAATCACCACATCTGGCACCCGACGATCACCTCCAGCCACCATCTTCAACAGTCAACAATCGCCTTTCAGCCACCACCTCCCGCCGGACATCCCTTTCACTTATTTTCAAAACAATTTTTAAAAATACACGAGGTACCAAACATCTTTTTGTTTTGTTTTTATCAAAAATAAACATAAACATGTTCAATATATTTTGTAAACAGAAAACAGTAACCTGCACTACAAGAAAAAGCATTTTTGGCAACTAAATTTTTAGTTGCCAAAAGTCTGTTTTTAGTCTCCGAAAGTCGAGTTTTTACTTTCAACGACTAATTTTTTTAGTCGCCCATTTTGTCGCGTATATATGGTCGCCGGAGGTATTGGCGACTAAAATTTTTTTAGTCAGCAAAAAATAGCTCTTTAGCGACCAACTTTTTAGTCGCCAATAGTGATTTACACTTTTTAAAATCACACATTTGGCAACTAATCTTTTAGTCGCCAATAGTCCATAAATCGCCGACTAAACGGTTTAGTCGCCCAAAATAAACACTTTTGGCGACTAAAATTTTCATCGCCAAAGGTCCTTCTGTGAAAAAAAAAAAAAACAATTTCTTTGCTTTTTCTGAGATTCGAACCGCCAATACCTTTAGCAACACACTCCCTCCACTATGCCACTTCAACATCACATGAATATATATGCAATATATATTATTGATATAGTATATTGACTGGTATTAATACAAAACTATATATATAAATATAATTATTTTTATTCAATATAATTTATGTAAAAAATAAATTATTTATTAAAAAAAATTTAGGCCACTTTTGGCGACTAAATCCATTATTTAGTCAGCCACCACCTCCCGCCGGACATCCCTTTCACTTATTTTCAAAACAATTTTTAAAAATACACGAGGTACCAAACATCTTTTTGTTTTGTTTTTATCAAAAATAAACATAAACATGTTCAATATATTTTGCAAACAGAAAACAGTAACCTGCACTACAAGAAAAATCATTTTTGGCGACTAAATTTTTAGTCGCCAAAAGTCCGTTTTTAGTCTCCGAAAGTCGAGTTTTTACTTTCAGCGACTAATTTTTTTAGTCGCCCATTTTGTCGCGTATATATGGTCGCCGGAGGTATTGGCGACTAAAATTTTTTTAGTCGGCAAAAAATAGCTCTCTAACGACCAACTTTTTAGTCACCAATAGTGATTTACACTTTTTAAAATCACACATTTGGCGACTAATCTTTTAGTCGCCAACAGTCCATAAATCGCCAACTAAACGGTTTAGTCGCCCAAAATAAACACTTTTGGCGACTAAAATTTTCATCGCCAAAGGCCCTTCCGTGAAAAAAAAAAAAACAAACAATTTCTTTGCTTTTTCTGAGATTCGAACCGCCAACCTCTCCCACATTCGAACCGCCAATACCTTTAGCAACACACTCCCTCCACTATGCCACTTCAACATCACATGAATATATATGCAATATATATTATTGATATAGTATATTGACTGGTATTAATACAAAACTATATATATAAATATAATTATTTTTATTCAATATAATTTATGTAAAAAATAAATTATTTACTAAAAAAAAATTGAGGCCACTTTTGGCGACTAAATCCATTATTTAGTAGCCAATTCTATTATTTTGGCCTACTAATTAATTTTTTGTTGCTAAAAAAATAAGTTCAAATTAAAAATAAGCAGTTTTGGCGACTAAATCTGTTTTTAGTCGCCAAAAACGTCCCCTTTTGGCTACTAAACTGAATTTTAGTCGGCAATGGACTGTTTTTAGCTACTAATTTTTTTTTTTTTGTAGCCAAAAAGCTTCACTTTCAGCGACTAAACTGTTTTTAGTCGGCAAAACACCAACAATCGGCGACTAATCTGTTTTTTAGTCGCCAAAACCATCACTTTTGGCTACTAAATTATTTTAGTCGCCAAAAACCGTCACTTTTGGCTACTAAACAACCTTTAGTCGCTAAAACCTCTACATTCGGTGACTAAATTGCCTTTTAGTCGCTAAAACCCCTGTATTCGGTGACTAAGCTCTTTTAGTCGGCAAAAGTGTTCAATTTTGGTGACTAATTCCATTTTAGTCGCCAATTCTACTACTTTCAGCGACGAAAAATGAAGTTATAGTCGCCAAAAACGCTTTTTCTTGTAGTGCTGTAAACATTTCCAAATGGCACCTCAACTTCTTACATTAAATTCGTATCCCTAAGAGAAGAAGAATTATTGCACTTAAAAAGACTCACAGAGATGAACCCATGGCGCATTGTCAGGTAGTCAGCTCTATTAACAGACCTGAATAATTGCCGAAAGAAGCATACCTGAAATGGTTAAATTAATTCAATTTCAAACCAAAGGTTATATAAAGAGAACCAAGTGAGCTGAATCAAGAACTTTAGCGACTTACAGCAATGTTATAAAAACCATACCAATCACCAAATTAGCAAAGATGTTTAGGTTCTTTTGCTTTATTGCTTTCTCTTTCTTTATTTTCCTTTTTCTTTTTTTTTTTTTTTTTTTTTTTTTTTTTTTTTTTTTTTTGAGGGGTGGACTCGTAAAACTGGATAAATCAGATATTATTTTTAGTTATATTATATAAACAGTATTAAAGCTATGACTTTAAAAATAAAAATAAAAAATCCAAACAAAAGAGTTGTTATATAAGTAATAAAACTTGTGTCAACAATTTTATTGAATTCAGCATGTTTCACTAATGTTGAATTTAAAGCACTTGATGGAGCTCCATTGTTTATCTAGACACGCATTTTTCTAAAATATTAGAATTAATATTTTTGTCTACGTAAGATAAAATTTAAGGGAGAGAATTGCAAATCAATGAAAAATAGACAATATAATTACAAAAACATGGAGATACAAGTGGGGTCTGTGCTTTGGTGGAAAAAGAAAGCTTGCATCAGAGCACAAACCCCACTTACACCTCTATTTTTTTGTAATTATTTTTCTTACTTCCCATTGATTTGCAATTTTCCTGAGAAATTCAATTAACTAATACAGCTTTCTTGTGCAGCTTTACAAGGTCATCTGAAATATTCACCTTTATCCTAGACCATTAGCAACAGCTTTGATGGTTGGATGTATTGAGTATAAAGAAAATAGCTTCCCACTGAAATTTTAAAATATAGAGCTGCTAACTCGAAGTTGTTATTGTAGTTATTCATATATTTGGATACTTGTTGTGAGGCTTCTTTAAGCTAAAATGTCACAATGCTAATTTGCTATCAATTTTATCACACCAAATTCAGTATGCTAAAAGAAATAACAAAAATAAAAAGTTAATCAGAAGCAACTTGAATCTTCCTTACAAAATAAAAGAAGAATGGTGATTTGACCCAGAAACTCGTGTGCTCTTTAACAAAAGACGTCTCATGGGTAAGCCTGAATCTATTAGGATCTGCATGACAGGACAGAGAGTTCAGCAATGAAGATAGTAGGAGAATATGGAAAATTCAATGGGGGATTCGAGTAAAAAATAATTTGGAAGATAAATAAAACATATTGGATTGTTTGATGATTTACCATTGAATTCATCATTGGTTTCAGTTTCATGTTCCCATTCCTTCCACCCACGTATCTGCATGTAAAAAAAGCTTGGAATAAAGTATAAAGTATAGATCACACCGTGCACAAATTGAATATCAAGATAGAAGGCTGTGAAAATGGGCTAAAAATATAATATAATCTGTCCCAAGGTAACTCTTAAGCCCCTTGGCTAATCCATATAATGAAAGAACTTTCAAGTAATAAAACAGAAAAACTAAAAGCAATCAATTATATACACGCACCTTCAATCTCCCAAGTGTCATTGTTATGGCACTGTATATAACATGAAAGACGGCCAAAAAGAATATGAAGATGTGCAACTGATGTAACCCATGGATAGATATAAGTGGCACGTACCCCTATTGATAGGAATTCTATTAGTATTTCTTGAATAAGTATTCGTCGTGCTTCAAATCAAATAGGGAGCACAGTATAGAAATCAACTATGTCAATTGAAGGCTTCACATATAATTTGAGAATACGATTCAGAAGAATGACCAAAAGCATGAATTTTGAAAATTAAACAAAATCAAGCAAACAAACAAAACAAATTCGTTTTTAAATAATAATAAAAAAATGCCTGAGAAATGAAAACCTTGATGGACTCAAGCATATTATCAGCATATCAGGCATGCAACAAAAATCATTTCTGGATTTGGAGGTATTACTACCACAAACAGCACCAATACAACTATATGCAAACAAACACCTTAATAAAAAAAATTTGAGTGATGATTCGTGAATTTAAGCTAGAATCAGCAGATCTGTGAATTCATCCTATGTTCATTAAGCTGATTCAAGCTAAAAATTGATTGTTTGAAAACTCATCTGAACTATCCATAGTCTGTGAATGGGATTTATAGATGATTTTCCTACAGAAAATGGTAGTGTCGAGATGTTCCGCAAGGGTCTCCCGCTCCCCAATTGAGTAAAAGGGAACAAATTTGGCTGAGGATGTGGGAGATGAAGGAAAGAGGAGAAAAGAAAATGGAACATACAATGGTAGATCTGCAATTAAACCCTCTTTATTTGGCTGAGGATGTGGGAGATGAAGGAAAGAGGAGAAAAGAAAATGGAATATACAACGGTGGATCTACAATTAAACCCTCTTTATGTTGCGGAACAAACCACACACACAAACAATAGCAAAATAAACAATCACAAACAAAGAAACACGACACAGAGATTCACGTGGTTCAATAAGATTGCCTACATCCACAGCTCACACCAGTTCCACTATAATGAAATAAGAAAAAGGTACAACATGGATGCTGTGAAGGCAGCAATATATATGTCAGGCTTTACATCAAGAAAGTACCGGAATACCCTTCGTACAATGTGCTTGTATCCGTGTCCACTTTAATTCCCCATTTTTATGAAATGAGAGCATGGCTAGTTCAGCTTTTTCCTATGCATAAGTTATAACTAAACATATAAACCTTTTATTGCACCAAAACAAGCAGAACAAAATTTAGATTTAAATCACCTACAGAACAAGACACTTACTTTCTTGCACCCTTTAGCAGGTTCACCACCAGCTAAAATTCTATGGTCATTCCATAGAAGCCTCCTATGGTGGTCTGGCTCCTCCTTAGGGGCAGGTTCATGCTCTGGTTCAAGATGGTGGCCACCATGATGTTTTATGGGACATGGCAACATTGTATCTGCAAGCTTCGTGGGTATACAGACGTTGGCAATGTAGATTTGCCCAAATGTCAAGAGTAGGGAAATGAATCCTAGAACCATAAGCTCTGCAAAATTTAATCAAAAATGCAAAATTTAATCAAAAACAAAAAACAAGGGTTGCTAAGAACTGGAGAAACACTTGAAAATTTCAATTGCATAAGTGTTTTTGTACTTACCGCCTTTAATCTTCTCGAGAGCTTCCAGCATAGGTTCCTTTCGTCTTTTCCTAAACCACTGAAACAAAACAGTGTTTCTTATAACAATAAGACCCATGAAGAAACTAAAGGCGGCGATGAAACAGAAAATAAATAAATAATCCACCAAAACAAAATTTGTTTTATAGTTTTGGTTTCTTATGGATATCATTTTCAAGAGAAGAAACAGTAAAATAGGTAAAAGAGAAGGCAAACAGAATGAAAACAATTTTTACCCAAGTCCTTGATAATCTATAAAATAAAAAGATAAAAATACAAGTTTTTTATTTTTTATTTTATTGTTTTCATTGTTTCTTATGGATATCATTTTGGAAAGAAGAAACAGTAAAATAGGGAAAAGGGAAAGCAAACGGAACGAAAGCAGTTTTTACCAAAGTCTTAGGTTTGTAATCTATAAAGAAAATTTAAAAATTAAAAAAATTAAAAAAAGAATAATTCAAACAAATAAAAAATAACAAAAAATGGTATTCTCAAGAAATGTCTTCTGCTACTTTCTTTCTTTATGCACCCCTTATTTCTTGTTTTGTTTTTGGAAACAGTAAAATAGGGAAAAGGGAAAGCAAACGGAACGAAAGCAGTTTTTACCCAAGTCTTAGGTTTGTAATCTATAAAGAAAATTTTTAAATTTTAAAAATTAAAAAAAGAATAATTCAAACAAATAAAAAATAACAAAAAATGGTATCTAAAAGAAATGTCTTCTGTAAATATCTTCTGCTACTTTCTTTCCTTCTGCACCCCTTATTTCTTGTTTTGTTTTTGTTTAGGTTCAATTTCAACAGCCCCAAAACAGAAAAAAGACAACCAGAACCCCACAAACTTATCTAACCAAAATAATTGTGGTGCATCCAACATAAATATTTATATATATATATATATATATTGACTCCTAAGATTGAAGAGACCAATTTACATAATATACCAAAAAGTGAAAGAGAAAAGGAAAAAAAACCCTGCAATTAAAATTGCATGGGTGATGGAATAACAACATTATTAACACAATTACCTCTCCGACTCCGTGAAGAAGCTTCTCTAATAATATAGAGATTACAACGATAACTGCGCAAACCAAAGCTACTGCCCACGTTGGTGTCTGATCAAGCTCCCTCCCAGCAGAACTTTCATCTCCTCCTCCTCCTCCTGCTGCCATTTTCCGTTGCTCAATTCACACAAATCCACGAACCACGTCAAGGTTCAGAGAAAGAGGAAAAAAAAAAAAAAAAAAAAAAAAAACAAAAAAAAAAAAGAAAAAATTAAAAAAAAAAAAATATTCCAAGTTGAAAATTCTTTGGGAAAATTCACATTTGTGACGAATCTCCCAACCAGAGAGGGTAACAATGGAGAAATTCAAAGTGGTTTAGGGTATGGGTATGGTAGTGGCTCATGATGCAAAGGACCGTTGTGTTAGCCTCATGGTTTTGGCTTTGACGATGAAGGCGGTTCCATGTTTTGTTTTGTCTGTCTCGTAACGGAATCGAACCGGGATTGTACGGACTTAAGGGTATGGCAGTTAGGTATATGTATATTGCACGAATTGCCCATCATTTTGGCGTGTATTTTCCAAGTTGCCCCTCAAACAAACGTGTTAACCAGAGCATTAGTAGGGATTAAGTTGGGTGCGGTCCAAACATGGCCACAATGGAAGTTGTGTCTTCTTTTTTTTTTAACAGATAGAAACATATGCGGGCAAATTACTTGGAAGTTCTTTTTAAAATAAGCGAAACTTATTTAGTTCACTACGTTTTTTTTCTTTTTTTTTTTATACTCTTAAAAGTTCATTATGTATTTTTTTTTTTTCACTGTACAATCGTTCTTCTTTGCCTTTTTCTTTTCCTGATTTTTGGCAACCACCATTGTTTGGGATTCATCGCCAATCACCGACCACTGACTCCTTACTTACCCTCACTGATAGCGAAACGAGTTTTCGGCAAAAAAGATGAGTAAATCTACTCAAATCTAATATAGATCTACTCAGATCTACAACAGATTTAAGTAGATTTACATCAGATCTGACAAAAATTTATATAAAAAAAAAAGTTGTATGAGTACAATCTTCTTTCTATATCTATTTCTCTCCTTCAATCTCTTAATTTTTCTACTTTTTTTCTACTACACATTTCTATTTTCTTGTTTTGATGGAGAAAATTTTCAAATTCCGAACAAGTTGTTTTCAAGTTTTAGTTACAGGCGGTGAAAACTATAAAATTTTACAGTTTCATTTTTTTTTTTTGTGCTGAAATGAATCATGATTTAAAATTGTAAAATTTTGCAGTTTCATAACATTCTTTATAACTATAAAATTTTGCAGTTTCATAATATGTTTTTCAGTTTGAGTAACAAGGATAAATGCTTAATAGAATAATATTTTGAAATTCTAATATTTTACTGTTTCAAAACTTGTTTTTCATTTTGATCAATATTGGTAATATTTTGTTTATACTCTACAAAAAACTGAAAAATAGTATATGTTTTTTCCCATTATTGTTGTTTGTTGTTGTTAAGATTTTTTTTTTCCTTTCAGTTTATCAATATTTATCACATTTTGTTACGTTTTTTCATTCTAATTTCTCAATTTCTTTTTTTTTTTGGCAATATTCTGGATATTCTTGTGAGTCTCTGATTATATTTTTGACATTGAACGAACATTCTAGACATTCTGACAACTTCCAATGACATTCAGAATACTCCGGCGAACTTCTAGTGATACTTCGACGAATTTTTGTTGATGTTGAACATTTCGATAAGTCTCTAGTGATTGTTTGATGGAAGTCTGGCAGTGATGGAATGTAGCAGAGTTTTTAAATTTATTAAAAATAAATAAAATTGATAACAATTAAAAATATGTAGAATTAATAGGTGCAAGTGTTTTGTTTTGGAATTAAATGAGTTTTAAATTTTGTATATAAGAGTTACTGGTTAGTGCTCCAAAATATACAGACCCTGGTTTACAAATTAATCAGCTAAAAGCAGAAAAATTAAATAAAAGTAGAAAAAACACACACTTATGCCTATTATTAATATATGAATCCAAAGAGTGTAGTGTAGAGGTGTAATTTGGCCCGGCCTGCCCATGTTGGGCCTCGTAGGCTCCTGCCAAAACTCTGGCCGGCCCGACCTACGGGCCAGAAAATTGGGCGTAGGCCCAGGCTAGAGGGTATTCGGGCCTTGGGTTGGCTGACAAGTCGGGCCTTGGATGGGGCCAATGGGCTTGGGCTTGGGTTTGGGTATGGCTTGAACATTTTTTTATATTTTTTTCACTAAATTTTTATTTTTTTCACTAAAAATAACACTGGGCCTCGGGTGGGCCAGGCTTTAAGTTGGTCTTGAGTGGGGCCAATGGACCGAGCCACGGGCTAGCCCAGGTAGGTCGGGCTTCAAAATGATGGTCCAGGACTAGGGTCCGGGGCTAGGCTCGGGTCCGAGCCTAATTAGGTCGGACCCACCCAGGGTCGCGGGCGGGTTTTAGGCCGTCCACGAGCCGTGGGTCATTTTTACACTCCTAGTGTAGTGCAAGACGCAACAAGATTTGTGTCCCTATGAAGTATGGACATGGATACATCATACATCCGGATAGAATGATATGATAAAATGTAAAATAAAATAAAAAAGTAAATTATATTGATAGTTCTTATATTTTGTCTCGTATGTTATTTTGATTCCTACACTTTCAATTAACTCAATTTTGATTCTTAATCTTAAATTTTGTATCAATTTGGTCCAATTGATAATGTCATTAGTATTTTTAACAAAAAAATGATCATTGAATTGGTTAAGATTAACTTACTAAGTAAAGCAAATTTATAATTTTGCCTATAAAATATGACATATGTCATTTATATGCATAATGTTTGTTAAAAGAATACTAATAATTGTAAGCAATTAGACTGAATTGATACAAAATTATAAATTTAGAGTCAAAATCAAGCCAATTGAAATTACAATGACCAAAATGATACAAAAACTAAAATACAAAGACTATCAATATAATTTACCCATAAAAATAGAATACTTGTACAGTGAGGGATGTTAAAAAAAATTATAGCTTTTAATAGTTATGTTACAGCACTGGTTGGTGGCCCGAAAATATGTGACTCGAATGGCTCGAAACACCCAAAACGACGTCGTTTTGCCATTTTCGAGTCATTCAAGCCACATATTTTTGGTCCACCAAACATTTTTCTTTATGTTATACATGAACTCAAATAATAATGAAGTACTATTATTTAAGAATTAAATATTAGTTTAATATAATTTAATAAAATTAGAAGAGAAATAATAGAGTAATATTTTAATCTCGTTATTTATTTTTTTTGACAAGCAATAAAAAATATTAAAAAATTTGTCTATTATTTATTCTAACAATTATATTTTAATATACAAAAATTGTACAATAATTTGAAAAGAAAATTGATGATAAATTCAATCTGAATAGTGTCTAAGGTGTTAGGTCCTATAGATAAAATTTGTCGGTCAAAAGTACATACTTTGTGAAATATTATGATAAGAAGTATATTTTGTTGTTTTGAAAGACATTTTTCTAGTTTTGCCATTTTTTTAACATATATGTTCAAATCTTTTCTTAATTCAATTTTGATTCCTACACTTTCAATTAACTCAATTTTGACTCTTAATCTTAGATTTTGTATCAATGTGGTCCAATTGATAATGTTATTAGTGACATGGGTAGGCCTATAAAGGCTACAGCCCACTATGAACAACCAAGCCCCACCACTTAGAGCCCAATACATAATCCAATTAATAAAGCCCAACGTTGCTAAAACCCCACATAGCAATAAGAACCAATGACATCAAGACACGTGGCGAGAGAAGGACAAGCCACATCAACAGACAAAGATCTGCAAAGTTATTGCCACGGCACATCGCCATTAATGAGGCCCCTTACAGCATTTATTGCGATAACCCCTCACCGTTGGGACAGCACGCCCTCACCCTGAACAAGGTAAGCTACAGCATAGACTTTCGGCCAAGGTGACAGGTCGGAAGGGACAACGAAATGATTACCAGAGGATATAAGCAGACGTTGAAGACAAGAAGAGGGTTAAGCTTTTCTATCTCTAGTCTATCTCTACAATCCACTTCTCTTTCTAACTTGCTCGTCGGAGGGTTCGCTGAGGGACTCCCCGTTCCCCGTTGAACTCTTGTGCAAGTTCCCCCGTGGGCTTGGTCATTCGGACATAGGCTTGAGGAGCGTGGATCAGTCCGACCCGTTCCATCATCACGAATTGTATCATCAGTTGGCGCCGTCTGTGGGAACGCTTTGCTCCGCGCGCCAGTTGTGCTCATTGTCGCCGGAAACTCTGTCCCAATAACCCTTTCTTGCTACCCATCAAAGTGTATGGTCACGACTAGATCCGTGGCTTCTCACCATAACGTTGCCGACCACCAAGCCGACGCCCCCAATCCAAAAAACCCACCACAGTATTTCATCGAGCTTACCAACAGCATTAACCGCATGGCCGAGCAAAACCAAGCCCTGATAAATGCTCTACCCCAAAGAAACCTTCCTATGCCTCCTCTACCACCTCCAACTATTCCCCTCAACCAAGAACGAGCCCCGAGCCATACTATCCTGCAGCTTAATCCACCCAACTTGGAAGGCTTACAACCTCCTCCCCTAAATATAAATCCACCACCCCGACCCCCACATCCATCAGTCTCGGCACCAACCTCTGAAGGAGAGGCCAGTAGCGTCCAGCCCCCGCTGCCCTCAGGTGGTGACAACATTCCTCTCTGGGACGCAGAACTCCGAGCCATGAAGCTCCAACTCTAAGGGGTCATGCAGAACATCCAGCATAGATCGTCTACCACAGCCAACTCGCCATTTATTGCCTCCATCCGGGATAAACCTTTACCCCCCAAGTTCAAAATGCCCACCATCGACTCTTTTGACGGTACGACGAACCCAGTCGACCACTTGGAGACCTACAGGACCCTCATGATCCTCCATGCTTTCCCTGACGAAATCATGTGCCGGGCTTTCCCCGTGACACTCAAGGGGTCAGCTCGACTTTGGTTTAGTCAACTGCCAGCAGACTCTGTCTCCACTTTCCAACACCTCAGTGACTCTTTCCTCAGCCATTTCATTAGAGCCCAGTGCCAGCGGCGTCCGGCAACCCAACTCCTCAACATCCATCAGATCGAAGGGGAGTCGCTATGCAGCTTCGTTACCCGCTTCAACACCGAAGCCCTGCAAGTAGCGGAAAATGATGACAAGGTCAT